TAGCAAATAATTCTGAACAATATATCACTTTCTCGGTCGGGCAACTTCAATTTATAGATAGTATGAAATTTTCGTTACTGGGTTTAGCTAAGATGGCAGAAAATTTACAAGATGAAAAAAAGGGAGAAAACAAAACACCAGAACAACTTGCCAAATGTTTTCCAATTATGTCGAAATTCATCTCACCTCATTTGTTATCATTGCTTACATGTAAAGGAATTTTTCCATATCAATGATTAAATAATAAAACAAAATTTAATAAGACACAGCTCCCACCACGTATAGATTTTAATAGTGATTTAGATGGGTTTAATTACTGTGATCATAATTGTAGAATAGAAAAATGTGAGCATGGAGAGAAGATAGGGAAATGCAAACATAAATGTCAGAAATGTAAGCATAAAAAAGAACCAGGTAATTGCAATGAATGTGATGAAAATAAAGAATGTGAACACGAAAAAATTTATACCATATCTCAAAAAGATTATGATTTTGCACATATGGTCTGGCAAGAAACAGAATGCAAGACTTTTGGAGATTATCACGATATCTATCTTAAAACTGATGTATTGATTTTAGCAGACGCATTCGAGGCATTCTGTAAAGCCTCATATTCAGCATTCAAGCTCGACCCAGCAAATTATTTAACTGCACCAGGTCTAGCATAGGACGCTTGTATGAAGGTAACTAAAGTTAAGCTTGAATTATTTCATGAACACCAAGGAGATATGCACGATTTCTTTACAGCAATGAAAAGGAGAGGAATGTCTTTGGCTAGATGTCATATAGCTAGAGCAAATATTCCAGGGTTAGAGGGGTATGATGGAAAAAAATCGAAAAAGTGGCTTTTGTATCTAGATGCTAATAATCTATATGGTTGGGCAATGAGTCAGTATTTACCAACTGAAGGATTTAAATGGCTATTAACAAAACCCCTCGAAGCGACTTCCCCATTAATGCAGAAAATTTTATTACTAAAAGAAAAATCAAATCGAGGATGTTGTTTAGAAGTAAAGTTATCGATTCCAAAGAATTGCATCCCAAATTTCGAGACTATCTAATGTGTCCAGAACGAATGAAAGTACCATATGATTGGTATGGATCAAAGCAAAAAGAATGGATAGGAAAACAACGTCCTGATACAGAAAAACTTATACTAACTCTACATGATAAAGACCATTACGTTATTCATTATAGAAATCTACAGCAGTGTATAAGAGAGGGGTATGTTCTAGAAAAAGTATACAGAGTTTTAGGTTTTGAACAATCTCCTTGGATGGAATCCTATATAGCAATGAATACACAACGACATGCAAAAGCAAAGAATGTCTTTGAAAAAGATTTCTGGAAATTAATGAATAATTCAGTATTTGGGAAAACTATGGAAGACGTAAGAAAATGAGTAAATATAGATTTGGTTCGACAGGTAGGTGAAGAGCATCGATTACGCAGACTAATTTCTGATCCAGCTTTCGTTAGTCGGAAAATTTTCTATGGAGCAAATTTAGTAGCAGTACATCGAAGGCAAACTAATGTAAAGTTAAATAAACCGGAATATGTGGGAGCATGTATTCTCGATCTTTCTAAATACTTTATGTATGACTTCTGGTATGGACATCTCAAAAAGAAATATGGAGATCGGGTAAGACTTTTATATACAGATACTGATTCTTTAATCATAGAAATTGAGACCGAAAATATTTATCAAGACATGATCGATGATTGTGATTTATTTGATTTTAGTGACTATCCAGAAGATTATTGGGTACTAAAAAATCTTCCAGAAGATCAGTGGATAATCAATGATGAAGGTAAGTGTGTATTAAAAAATACTAAAGTTATAGGTAAGTGGAAGGATGAAAATGGAGGAGATCAAGCTATAGCCTATGTAGGAGTTCGAGCAAAATGTTATAGTGTTGTGTGTGAAAATTCCAGAAAAAATATGATAAAGGCTAAAGGTCTTAAAAAGTCTCTTATCAAGAGAGAGCTCACACATAAAATATTCGAGGACTGTGCTTTAGAAGGAAAAAAGGATCAGCCACGAACTGCTCAATTCCTCCGAAGTTACGGACATCGAATGTATAGAATAAAGCAAACAAAGAGAAGTATTAATCCACTAGATACAAAATTGTGGATAGATCAAGATGGGATTACAACATACCTATATGGTGATTGTGAAATTCCGGAAGAATATATATAGCTTTGCTACATAATGCTACATATCAATATTTTTTTTTCTGGCTTGACTACTTAATTTCGGAGAAATATATACCACATATAATTAGTAAACTAAAATAAAATTTTCAAATTAAAAGATAAAAGATTACTTAATAAAATCCACACGATTGATATATATGATATAACATGCAAACATATAACCCACTTACACTTCCGGATACCATCGCTGAAATCTTCTATTAGAGTCACTAATCACACTTACCCTTAAGCATAATTTTTTATCCATGATTGCTAGCAAAGATCGAGCGATCCCCCATACTAAATAATTCGTGAATGAATGGATCGCCAAACCCGAAATTAGTTTTCATAAATCTGCAAATTAGGTTTGTTAGTCGTGAAGAATAAACTATATAAAAAAGCTAAGTATAAGTAATTTCTTTATTAAAAACTTATCTGGTAACTCATCATTATTATGTCTCTTACTAATCTTCAAAATCTCGCCTTGAATATTTTAAAAGAAACAAAACATAACATAGTACAAGATATCATTGTTACAGAATTGCCACCATGTAAACTATGTGAAAACAAAATATTATCTGTTAATTTCGAATCATTTACAATACTTTCATGTGGACATATATATCATAGAAAATGTATAGGAAAAAAATTTTTACTTACAACAGAAAACAAATGCCCTTTATCTGATTGTAATAAAATCATTGATCCAGTAGTATCCGAACGAAGGTTTTCCGAATCATCATCTCAGTCTAGTGGAACTTCTGCTCTTGCAGAAATGTTAGGCGATGACTTTGGATTAGGTTCTCCAATGAATGTATCACCATTATTACCCTTACTTAATGAGACTACTCAGAAAAAACGTACTAGGGAATTATCCGCATCTACCGAAAAATTGTCTAGCAAAAAAGTGAAAAAAACTGGTGGAAAGAAGGTATCAAGCACAATAAAACAACTTATCGAAGAATTATTAACCGAGATTCCTGATAGTGGTAGGAGCTTGGAAAAAACAAGTGAAAGCTAAGTAACTTTTTACAACTCTCTGAAAGGATTGATCATGCTGAAACTAAAAACGAAGAAGCATCTTGGGGTCTCATTTTCAGTTATTTTAATTTTGGGAAAGCCATATTTAAACGATACAAGGAATTAAAACCCAAGTTTGGTAAGGATGGATCTGAAGCGATAGTTAAAAAAGAGGTTAGGGTGGCAATTCCCAAGACAAAATGCTCTGATGAAGCTTTGCGAAAAAGGACAGAGAGATCCGAAAAAATTTACAAGCTTTTTAATAGTATTGGGAAAGAAAAAATAGCCCGGATTAGATCTATCCCCCCATCATTCATCTTAAATCTAACTGCAGATGAAACCAAATATGTAATGGCTGAAATCTTAACGCATAAGGTTTGACGAGCTCGGACAAGCTTGTCCAGCCTCAGCCATCATTTTTTATTTGTGTGATGTGCAAAAAATAATTTCGTAAAATATGTGAAATACTGCACTATAAATTATCACTTGACATACATGATTCATTTATTCTTCTGCACAGTTTGACGAGCTCGGACAAGCTTGTCCAGACTCTACCATCAAAAAAAAAATAATCTAGTCATAAATGCATAGTTATTTCGGGAGATAAATTTAACTTGAGCTTATATGCATGTCCATCAGGAAAATATCGGTTTCGGGAGATAAATTTAACTGGATGCTGATCCAGCTTCTGCTCAATTTTGACGAGCTCGGTCAAGCTTGTCCAGACTATACCATAGAAAAATAATATATTTTTTTGCACGTGCATTTTTAAACATATATTAATAAAGCATCCCCCATATCGGGTTTTATTTTAAAGTAATCACTACCAAATGTAATATAATGTAATGTCACAGAAAATAATTTGCTACTTCCAATAAGATTTCGATGACTAATTTGCTGTCTACTGCGCCATGTAATTTATTCATTTTTCTGCGCAATTTTGACGAGCTCGGACACGGTGTCCAGACTCTATTATCAGATATTTAGCCGTCTTGTGAAATAAATTTATGAGAAAATAGGGGTTTGTGACGAATGCAATCACCATTCACACCTATATTGTAAAACATGCAAAAAAGTAGCGGATGGAATATATAAACGATGTGAATGTAATCAGAATCTACATACAATTCGATATAACAATTCTTAGCGTTAAAAATAAAATTTGATATGTGGCATATAATATAAAACATTACCCGGCTTATACATAATTTATTTGTGAGACGGGCAACCCCTTCTTTGCTACTTTCTACATAACAACGATAAAAATAAAATCGGAAATTTCAAAAAGTACTTTAAAACGTATAAATAAGTTACCCAGGTAATTGATTAACATCAGCCAATCATACGAATGTCCGACCATGAACACAAAATTCGTACCGGTACGTACTTTTTGGCAGGATAAAATGGAAATTCATTGAAATTCTCATGTATAATTTAGGTCATTGCAGAACTGCAGAACCTCAGAATATCCTAACGCTAAACTAAATCCAAACCTTAATCGGAATTATCATTATCATATCTTCTAGCATTGTTAGTATGAGTGGGGTGCATGTTGATTCCGATAGACAAACATATCGTCATACATGGTCATTCAAGTTGCGACAGAGCTGTATCATGAGCTTATTAGCCTAATTTGGTATATTGTAACTAAGCCTTATAGATACATATGTGGTGGACGTTGAGTGTTCAATTTCTAAATAAAACAAGTCTTGGCGTATGACCAGAATATATATATCAGTTGTTTTTTGATACGGCCTAAAGACAGTTTTTTTTTGCACGTTTTCTTTGAAAATGGAATATGAAAAGTTCCCAAGCAAAGGGAGTGATGATATCGTGAAATAAAAGATACGTGTTTTCTTTACGAACTCCACCTTTAACCAAAATTTATAGATTTTAAAAATCAAAAACATTTACATAAAAGCTTATTTTTTTATAATGTCAGAATCTGTCGCCGTCTCCGTCTTTATTCAGTACTCACCCACCATGTGGGGGAATATACTCGAATGGGACATCCTCTCAATCCTTAGAGATGCAGGATTCGAAGTTATTCATGTAGGGTAGGTTTTTTCACTAAGTATTTGTTGAGTTATCATATATCCGAAGTTACGCTGTCCCACCGGTATAAAATATCTGAGAAAAAATTGAAAGCTCTTCGTGGCCTATGTTTCAACATAGAACGTTCTTTTTTCTCAGTTACTTGGTGTTCCTGCGGTTGTGTGGTACACGGGGAATTAATGGATGAATAGGATATATGCTAACTAATGAGCGCGTCACCGTAGACTATTCCGGCCGTGCAATATTTAGTTGTTAATAGCTATGACATAAATACTTACTTTATTTTTAATAATAGTCGTAGGGGAGATGGTGGAGTCGATATTATTGCCAGAATTAAAGGTAAAAAATTTTCATTTCAATGTAAAAATTGGAGTAACAAAATAGGTAAATATTGTGTTTATTTATTTATTTATTTATAAATTTTTGTTATTAATTAATCGATTAATTATAGGGCCAGAAGTTGTAAGAGCCCTAAGAGGAGTAACTTGCTTAGAAAAAGGTGTAGTGGGGATTGTTGTTGGAAATGAATTTTCTCCCGGTGCGATTAAAGAAGCAAATCTATCTCAAATTCATTCAGTTGCTTAAAGAATACCGGCACATATAAATCTAAGTGCTTTATTAATCCCAAATATAAGTATGTTACATAAT